ATGGTTCATGGGGTCATGAAGAGTCGGACATGACTTAACGACTGAACAACAACAACAGAGTATCATACTTTGGACACATGTGAAGACCCAGCTGTCTGGAGAAGTCTATAATGTTGGGAATGGTGGAAAGAAAGAGAAGAAGAGGATAAGCAGCAGCGAAGTGGATGGACTCATTTACAGAAGCAATGGATGAACTGTTGGAAGACTTAAAAAACCAGGTTGGGGACAGATCCTCCTGGAGAAAAATCTATCTATGTGGTTGTTATGGGTCAACACCAAATTCATGGCACATAATCAAGGCTCTGGGTGCCCTTTGTGAAATAATGTCACCTTTGTAAGAGGTGTGCCATCTGTGTCACAGTACCTGATCTATATTTAAATCTTCTGGTCCAGTGATGTTCTTTTCCCCAGGACCAATCTCACTGTGGCCTCTCTTAATCTCTCTTAATCTTGAACCACTTCTTTGTGTGAGGAGGAATTTATGACCTCCTGCACCTAGCTGAGTAACCCAATTTTACTAGTGGTAATGTGCTATGAAGGCAAGCATTGAGCAAGCAGATAATTGACTAAACTTTACTAACACTTCATCCACATCCCCAGGTTGTAAGAACAAACTCATCCAAAGAGGCTCTAGTGCACAGAATACACACTTTAGCAGGAAATGGCTCAATTTACAATCACTATTCTGAGAATAACATGGGGAGATGTTCTATCTTTGGTCTCACTATTAATGCTGATCTTCCTCTCTAGCACACAGCTGATCCTTCTATCATTATGAAAAAGAGTATGTTTTGTCTTTTTTTTTCCTTAGTGGCTTCTCCACATGTTACTATGCTACGATGAGGAAATGAGGAAAGTTGACCTCAGATATATAATCTTCCTGAGTCTCCCTAAATTTCTTTATGTTTGCAATACAAGAAATTGCATTTCTTCTCCTCTTGGAATCACAGATGTGGTAATCCAATTGTGGTAATATCAGAGTAACATAGGAGTGACTTATGCTTTGAACACCCTAGTTGCCAGGTTCAATCTGGAAACATAATCAGAACACAATCAAATCACCATCTAGCTCTTCTCACATTCCAGTCCATATATTCCAGTCAGGACACTGAGGGAAATAAAATCTGGTCCCACCTCCCAGTTTTCATCTGACCATTGCCTCTTGAGCTCTGTGCATTGAATAGAATAATAAGAGGCCTGAATTTGTACAATAAGGCCCATGTGCATGAATGGGATTTCCATAACTACTGACTGCAGACATATTCAGTAACTGTAGTTATTTCTCATGTTCTTT